CCACTCCTCTTACTACAAACCGTTTTCGAGATAGTCAGTTCACAAGAGACCAGATGTATTCTAAAGAGACCGCTTTGAATTCTAAACTGATTAAAATACTCTATAAAAGAATTCCGTACACCTCCACTTCGCAGACTACGAAGGCACCGAAGACTTTGCCTTGCAGTTTGATCACACGGCCCTGTCGCACAGTACCACACACGATGTTGATGACCGTTTGTGTCTGGATATATTCTCGATATTTTCCACAAATATGTTCTGTGCCAGACATTCCGTACGTTACTAAGATACTTTTCTCATAACTGCCTGCATACGAAAAGAAACAAAATTGTTAGATTATGTATACTTTGAACCCATTTATATGTTATGAACGGGTTATATTTTCATTGCTTGTAATATCATTGATAACAGCCAAGTCGATACATAATTATTAATAAGCTTTGTCCTATCTGCTATAAACTTTTCAAACTTATCTGAACTACATGCATTAGGAATACATTAAAGAAGCCTAACCAATTATTTCACTTAAATCACTTCAATGATTTTCAGTAAATCCTTCCAAAATACAATGGACGTCATTGTATTTACCTACCATTTAGACTGTATTCATATTGATATGAAAAGCAAGTTTGTAATTTTGTCTATGATGAAGATCATTATGTGCAAAGTTTATCAACAAACAACGACTATCAATACTACAAAACATACCTGTCTTCGTAACCATCATAACCTCCTGAATGAAATAATGTTCCAGTAAATCGATAGTCATCCAGGGGCTATCATCCCACCAAGTGACCAAGCAAGAGTGTCGAACATTATGCGGGGTAACGTAGCGAAAACCGTCAACAGCGCTAGCCGCGGAACGGTCTATTTGCCGTTCAGTACGCCAGAAAGATGACTCCGAAGTAGGTTTTCTCAGGGCAAGGTTACCAAGAGTTCCTATACAGTACAATAATCACAGTGATTAAACATATTGAAAATTAAATCTTGTGAAGTTTGAAAATCTGAGTACCTCATTTGGCGCGATGAAATTGAAGCAAATTAGCGCAATGATAAACTATCGCATTCACCTTAAAAGTTATATGAAATCATGCGAAAACTGTACTTATCACAACCATATTTAAGGTGTTATTTTCAGCTTCAATAAGAATACCACTCATTCTTGAACGTTTACAAGATGTCTTTCATGTATAATCCATGGAAATGTATACCGTTAATAGTTTATTGATTTCAAAACAATCTCACGAGAAGATCTCAAAACAATCTCACGAGAAGATCTCAAAACAATCTCACGAGAAGATCTCAAAACAATCTCACGAGAAGATCTCAAAACAATCTCACGAGAATATCTCAAAACAATCTCACGAGAAGATCTCAAAACAATCTCACGAGAAGATCTCAAAACAATCTCACGAGAAGATCTCAAAACAATCTCACGAGAAGATCTCAAAACAATCTCACGAGAAGATCTCAAAACAATCTCACGAGAAGATCTCAAAACAATCTCACGAGAAGATCTCAAAACAATCTCACGAGAAGATCTCAAAACAATCTCACGAGAAGATCTCAAAACAATCTCACGAGAAGATCTCAAAACAATCTCACGAGAAGATCTCAAAACAATCTCACGAGAAGATCTCAAAACAATCTCACGAGAAGATCTCAAAACAATCTCACGAGAATATCTCAAAACAATCTCACGAGAAGATCTCAAATCATTTATGCTATAAACTATCATATTTTTATTTTTCAATTTTCTCCGAGGAACAATGAAAGTCACCAAAAATGCTTTTTAAATGAAAATTAATTAAATGAAAAATATTTGTTTACAAAGAAAACGTTCGTTTTACGATTTCCTTACAATATGCATTATTTTAGCTTCCAACTTTTTGTTAAACCCCAAAGTTGAACCATCGTAGATGTCACAGTCCCAACCATAATTTTGTACATTTTATCTGTTTATATGTATGAAATAATATCCCAGTTATTCTGAACATTTCGTGCATGTATTTAATGAAATAATTTTGATAATATCTAAACTAAATACTGTCTATATATTTTTCTTAATAATTCCAGAAGATGTAAAGATGTAATTACGGATTCTCCGGATCCGAGTTCTTTATATTTGAATTTAGTCTCGTGTACATGTAAGCGAGAGCAGCGGTGTAGATTTCGGCAGGTCGATAATTGCTTGTATGGGGTTAGCCAGCGCAAAATACAGTTTGCGGTAAGTTTGTAAACCTTTATAACACCCTTATATTCCAATGTTTACCCGGAATCTGTTGTGTTCGGTATTTGGGGCGAATGTTAAGAGATACATATATATGCTCATAACAGCCGATGAGTACAGTTCAAAATACATATGTTATGCGTATAGAATAACTTATTTTTGTGAATTGGATTATGTATTTAGTTATTATAAGCAGAAATAGTCAGTTTATTTATCAGAAACTTGAAATTAAGACTAGAATTTGCTAATGGAATTATATCAGTTAATTAGCTACATACAGTAATATATGGTTTTAATAACATAATATTTGTGTATATTATGAGATACTAAATGAATATATGTATAGCTTAGTAATAGGAATGGGATATTTGGTTAGAAATGGTTATATTATGTAATTACAGTTCTACCCCAAGATATTAGTGAGGACGATGATGATACTACTGGTACAGAGATGTTACATGTTTGTGTCCTATGTGGGCCAAGATAGCTGTTGCTAACATACTGTGTGGGCAAGGCAGTGTAGCCTGATACCATGTCCTGTGTGGGCAGTCCTGTAAATATATGAGGTCTGGTGTGGACTGTTGCGGTATACAGTCTGGAGGTAGACAGACCTATCTACTGTATATGCTGTCCTGTGTGGCCAATTATAAAGATGTCCTGTGGGGGCAGTCCTGTAAACATATGAGGTCTGGTGTGGACTGTTGCGGTATACAGTCTTGAGGTAGACAGACCTATCTACTGTATATGTTGCCCTGTGTGGACAATTATAAAGATGTCCTGTGTGGGCAGTCCTAAGATGTCCCGTGTGGACCATTATGAAGATGTCCTTTGTGGACAGTTCTTGGTGCGTCATTGGATCTGTTAGCAGGGAGGACATTTGTTCAATCCGGTGAACATTTGCTGACTGATGTAACGTTTTATAAGCAGGTCATCCAGAGAGTTTTTCAGAGTCTTTACCAGAGACATGTATAGATGCTTGGCTGTATAGACTTTAATATACATTTCTATAATTATAGTGTAAGTGTGGTTATGAGTGAGGGAGTGAAGTGTGCTTAATTAGGGTAGAAGATATATCTTGTTATGTGTATATAGTGTAATAAACTTGTATATATTGTATTTTGGTTGTTTTAGCCATTCTTTGCGAGTCGCGCTCGTCCAGGTTACAGTAGAACACAATATGTTGGCTGCTAAAACTCAAAATATTTGTTCGAGTAGTGTCGTATTTTCTAGAAATACATCTTAATTTACCTTATATTCAAGACCAGTGATATCACACTTGATGAGTAATGATCTACCGAGATACACAGTGACTTTTGTTGTAATATAAAGACTTTTGTCGTGTTTTACCTCACATCTTACAAATGTAGTTTTTTAAAAGCATTATAGCCTGGGTTATATAGAGTTATATCGATGATTTTATCTGACTGTGTGCAAGGTTTCCTCTGCGGAAAGGGGTTAGAATATATCCACTGTGTCCTACTGTATGTGGTAAAATCCACCTTAAGGGGCAACCCGTCTGCCATGGGTTTTTTTGTTTGATGTTATTTCCTTTTTGGATCGCTGTTTATTTTACCGGTTGATGGCCATAATGATCTTTTATGTGTTGACGGGCAATTAAGAATGTAATAATAATAATAATAGTACATAAGGTTGCGTAGGATGCTATCGTACATTTTTGTGGTAGTGCAGGATGATATCGAAAGTCATCCAGGTGTTATCCGTGGTTCTGTCAAGTTATATCAATATATCGTTTATAGCTCAAAAGGTTTCCGAAAATATATAGGATTTGCCTGAATATTTTACATTTTTTTTCTACGAGCTTTAATGATGAATAACATGAAATGATTTTTCGACATCAGATGGATGAAATCTCTGAACCAGTAACGTGAACGGTATTATTTATAGGGAAATTTTAAACTAAAATGGATAACACTGCCTAAAAAATCCCAAAATTTGAACCGTAAATTTTATATTACCAATACAAATAACCATCATACGATCAGAACATTCACATGGAAAATAGTCACCTGTTCTCTCATAGTATCGCCATCCAGCGACGATATCTGCAAATCCTGAAAACAGCCTTTTAGAATACTCTTTGCATTGTCCGTTCCTGTAGAAGAAAGACACACAATTCCTTATTTGGCAAGCACTCAGACATTCCTGGTATGATGCAGCGTTGATGTCAGTACTTGCTCCTGTCAAATTGTCTATGAATCGGTTGTCTGAAGTGTATCCGTGATCTGTAATAGAAAACAATACTGCATTAACCACACGTTTACATGTTTAAATACGAACTTGTTTTTTTATATCTTGATATACGACATTTTAAATCGTGAAGTAAAAGAGGGACAGAAAGTACAATGGCTTGGATAAATTTGTATTCAGAATAATTCTAAGAGAAATATATAAAACACTGCGGTCAAGGAAACGCATTTAAATAAATAGCTTTTGGAATTAGTCCGCGGTTCATCTCAATTATTTTACCGATACATCATGGAAACATGTAGTGCCGAGCTATATAAGGAGTGAGGTAAACAGATGCAGGTATAGACAAAATTCGTTTTTATCTCAACACGGTTTAATCAGATTGTATATATATATATATTTAAACAATCTGATCTATATTCAAATTTTTATTTATGTATATATTGTGCATTTAACTGGGTTTGTTTATCAAATTACTTTTTTTATTGTAACTATACACACCTTTAAAAAAAAAAAATACTATAATTTTTCTTATTTTTAATCAAACGATTCCTCATTTAGAATGTGGAATGCTGGAATTGAGACTCGAACAGGACGCAAGTGGTCAGCAAGTAGTGCGGTACAGGAAGCAGAGAGCAGGCTAAGGCACAGCGACATCGTTGGGACTACCTGTATAGGCAAACAGGGGTTAGGGTCAACGCGGGTGGAAAGGTGGGGAACAGCAGACACGGCTGGTAGAAAGAAGATGGCTCAAGATAACATCAGGAAGATGGAGGAAGAGATCAGGAAGGTTAAAGCTGTAGAAATGGGAGCACAGGGAGCATGGACCAAATGGGAGACAACGGAAAGACGCCTTACATGGGCAGATATCTGGAAGTTGGAACCATGTAGAATCCAGTTCCTCCTGCGATCAGTGTATGATGTCCTACCAACACCTACCAATCTCCACCGATGGGGGATGACGGAAAACCCCAACTGCCCACTGTGTGACCAACCGGGTAACCTGGCCCATGTATTGTCATCGTGCAACACCGCTCTGACCCAGGGGAGATATACATGGAGACACAACAAGGTACTGCGAGAGCTAGCAGACACCCTTATGAAGGAAAGGCAGAAAAAGAGGAAATGTACCAAACATCAACCGTACATCAACTTTGTAAGATCTGGAGAGACAACCAATAAGAAAGCAGTGCACCAAGGAGGGATACTAGATGGAGCAAACAGTTGGGAGATGCAGGTTGACTTAGGACAAAGACTAGTTTTCCAAGATGTCGCCCAAACCAACCTTCGTCCAGATATCCTGCTATGGTCACAACAAGGGAAGAAAATGATAATGATTGAGCTAACTGTTCCCTGGGAGGATCGATGCCAAGAGGCTCATGAGCGGAAGAAAGGGAAGTACGCCGATCTTGCAGACGACGTGAGAGCAAAAGGATGGAGTGTGTGGGTCTTGCCAGTAGAGATGGGGTGCAGAGGGTTCCCTGCACAGTCCATGTGGAGGATGTTTTCTACACTAGGCATCCAGGGAAGAGACCGAAGGGCAGCTGTTCAACGACTATCAACAACAGCAGAGAAGTCGTCCAGCTGGCTTTGGTGGAGAAGAGTAGATTTGAGCTGGAAGCCATCCATCGACGGGCAGTGATTTGGCCAATCACTGTCGACTCACCACCTTGAGGACGTTCCAGGATAGGAGTCGAAACGTCCATTGAGAGGTGGTCCTGGCTGATGACGTCGATGGATTCTGCAGTCTAGCGATTGTTTTAAGGTAATTACGTGGCCGAGATGTACCGGTAGACTACTTTTCTCGGAGTGTGACGTGCAATTGTTTTCGTTGCGATCATATGTACAATCACTGTGTAGGGTGCAAAACATACCGAGATTGATATAAAAAAATGACATTTTAATCACCATCTTACATACAACAACTTTTTTTGTTCGTTATAAGGGGCCTTCGGCGTCCATCGGCCGAAGGGATTATCGAGACACCAAAGTTTACGCCACCGCTCTCGGTTTAGATTGATAACTTTATATTCGTTTTATGTTCTACGTATGTGATGTAATTAATGTAATATTTGTGTTTTGTTGGGTCAGATTGCCTCGAAAATTCGACAATTCGCTTGTCCGTACTGTTTCATTGATACATAATATATATATATATATATATGTGTGTGTTTGATACATTACACCGTAACTAGTTGTTTATAATAAAGCGCAGCCGACTCGACTTTCATAGGATAGTACCTTAATGTACGCATTGGAAGTCACCAATTGGACCTGTTTCCGTAATGATATTTGTCACAATACTTCCACCTCATCGTTCATTAGATTATAGTTCTGTCGAATATTCCTGTCATTTCATTAAATTTCGTACACCGTTTACATAATTGCAAATAAATAAATAAATAAATTAATTAATTAATTAATAAGAAAGGGAACCAGACGTTTTGTAAGAATCAGCAGCTTCTGCTTCAACGACGACATCAGTCATGTAGGTCTAGGTAATAAAGTCACGTTCTTAAATGAGAACTTATACAACAACGGGCACTACAGGCTAGAACACCAGCATAAAACTTGTCCAGCTTCATTTCGCGACTTCTTGGACGAAAATCGTGATAATGGGAATGGGGCTTTTAATATCGGATTAACTGCGTAATGTAAATATAGACTTGGGATGCAGGGTTGTTGCTATCCAGAAATGGAAAATTCACAACAGGGAACATGAGTTCATCACGTTTAGCAGCGGGTATTAGTTGGATTAAGGTGACAGTTTACACATTGAAACGTCACACATAAATTTTCTAAGTGGTTTTGATAAAGTAATATCTAATCGGGATATGTTTTAAATTTTACTTTTATTACTTATTCCCTGGTCACATTTGAACAAAATGCATGTGTGGTTTACCATTTGTTGTAGGATCGCTTTTGATTTGCCGAAACTTGCAAATCGCATGACTTCAATGAGATTTCTTTTATGCTGAAGACAACAATCAATATTTCAACTCGAACTGGTAAAACGATGGACATGTTTGACAACACTTTTGACTTCGGCTTTAGATGTGATGTAATCAAATATTATTACAGGTATTCAAAATGATTGCACAAAAGACACACGTGTAAATAACAAATGTAGAGACCAATTATGTAGTTAGATACAGAAAAGCGAAACAATGAATTAAACCGTATCATGCATTTGATTCTTTCTTCTAGGACTTGTCAGTTATGAAGGGATAAAGTATTAAGCCTATGATGCGACTGAGTAAAGGTAAAAGCTAATGATTGAATTGACAAAAAATATATAATAAATTGAAACTGAGTGAGTGTAGGTGAATGAATATATAGTGTTTCAAATCGCTTTGAATTAACAGAGACGAGAATGAAGCCAAAGTCACAGACCTTCGGAGATACAGTGGTGTCCGCCAAGAGACAAAGGAACGCAGGTGTGTCCAGCCATGCAAGGGCGACCCGAGCAGGCACCTGCCACGTCCTGTAAGGAAATGAATAATTAAGTATCAATATTAAATTTAACGGCAAAAAGAATATTAATGACGTATATGTCTGTGACTCAAACCGACATATATTGCTTGTTTGTCTTTTTTATTTGTTTTTTTTTTAATTTTCTGATTATTTCGAGGTATTGTTTAATTATCAAGATTTTAAAATGATTTAGTTTTTGTATCATCATACAACAGTTGTCACTCTCTACGACTGGAAATGTGGAATCAAAGTTGTAATTGTATATCAATTTAATGACGTGATAACTTTTAGGTAGTTACGTAATTACCTCCCCTAGTGTTATTGTTTACGTTACAGTGTTATTCAAAACGTTATTGATGTTCATTTTGTACTTCTTATTAATATACATAATACAGCAAGAGTGGGGATTGGCAATACCATGACATTTGCGTGTGATCACTAGGGACATTTGATTGGCCTTTTTAATTAATTTCTATTTTATGTCTTTACCTCTAGCGATTTTGTTTGGCCTAGGTAATTCTGGTTCTACGAAAACAATTAATAATAATTGATATTGCTTAATCATTCCACGGTTCGATATACTTATTTAATAACGTGACAGCTTAAACATCGTTTCAGGTTAGTCTATAAAGTCATCTTAATTCAATTCGTCTGTACTGAATAATGTTAAGGTTTTAAACATGGTTTTAATTAGATGAAACTTTGAGGTGGTAGACTGGTCCACAGGTACCAACCTAACGAAAAGACTCAAGGAAATTCATTGTTACTATACCGCTCGGAGTGGTCTGAATCGACAGATAAATAATTTGTTGTTACTATACCGAGATATCTCGCTCGGAGTGGTCTGAATCGACAGATAAATAATTTGTTGTTACTATACCGAGATATCTCGCTCGGAGTGGTCTGAATCGACAGATAAATAATTTGTTGTTACTATACCGAGATATCTCGCTCGGAGTGGTCTGAATCGACAGATAAATAATTGTTGTTACTATACCGAGATATCTCGCTCGGAGTGGTCTGAATCGACAGATAAATAATTTGTTGTTACTATACCGAGATATCTCGCTCGGAGTGGTCTGAATCGACAGATAAATAATTTGTTGTTACTATACCGAGATATCTCGCTCGGAGTGGTCTGAATCGACAGATAAATAATTTGTTGTTACTATACCGAGATATCTCGCTCGGAGTGGTCTGAATCGACAGATAAATAATTTGTTGTTACTATACCGAGATATCTCGCTCGGAGTGGTCTGAATCGACAGATAAATAATTTGTTGTTACTATACCGAGATATCTCGCTCGGAGTGGTCTGAATCGACAGATAAATAATTTGTTGTTACTATACCGAGATATCTCGCTCGGAGTGGTCTGAATCGACAGATAAATAATTTGTTGTTACTATAATTTGTTGTTACCGAGATATCTGGTCGCTAAATAATTTGTTGTTAGTGGTCTGAATCGACAGATAAATAATTTGTTGTTACTATGCCGAGATATCTCGCTCGGAGTGGTCTGAATCGACAGATAAATAATTTGTTGTTACTATACCGAGATATCTCGCTCGGAGTGGTCTGAATCGAGAGTTAAATAATTTGTTGCTAATCTGGTATATGATTACGCCCTGAAATCTCCAGATTTCATCAAATATCGTCAAAATATATCTCAGACGAACACTCATCTGGCAGTGAAATCAAACACTTATTCCCTGTAAATTAGCTTGACAAACTCCTTTGCCACGAGCCTGATTCAACTACAACTCAGTGTTAGTGATCTTTTAATAGGTTACTTGTGGGTTTTTTTCATTTTTATTACACTGCTCTGTTCAACATTGCAACTCAGACTTAAAACTCATGAGAAACAGTTGGAATGAGAAAGACATTTTTAATCGAGAAAATGGAAACGGTTTTAGTTTGTGTTTACCAGTGCATACTTTGCCCCCAACTTTTGAAATTTGAAAACTCAACGTTGATTTGTTCCTAAGACTTAGAACACCAACTTCCATATATTCAATCCAGAATGATGGCATCATTGATATTGAGTATCGGATTTTGTTTATCCCTGGGAATGCTTGTGATAACTTTCTTTATCTATATTCATCTTAACAGCGTCTATTCACAGTAGAGTAATGCATCGGCACTTTATCGCTTAAAACTATCGATTCCACAGACTGGAAATGTCTGATCCTCTTCGTTCCAGCCGCTTGATAAGTTCGTAATTTTGAAATTGTCAGAAGGCGGTGATTTTTACGTCTGAATGCAGACGCTGTGTCAACAATATATGCATATGACAATAAAATCGACTGAAATGCGTGTTTCCTATTTGATACTATCGCAGCTGTGATACCATATATCAAGTAGTATATATTTACATCATCTAGAAAAGTATGTTGTACAACGGTTCCAAGGGAAACGGAAGAATGAAAATATGAAATTATTTCTTCAAAACGTATACAACAGGTAGCAGCTATCTTGATAAGGGTGTGTATTATTGACCATAAAATCGTTTACCACACATTCTGTTAAGACTCATTTTGAAATAAAAAAAGGCATATCACAGACTTTGACCAGTCTATCTTTTGGTGTATCATATACAGACAAGATTCAGGTTGAACGAGAATAGAAATGCCTAGGACTAACAACGTTTAAAAAAAACCACGTGACTAGCGTAACTCAAGCAAAAGCAAACTTCGGTTTTGAATCTAAATAGAAGGAATATTAGTTTATGAGTACACCGAAATTATTACAGTGAGCGCGAGTTCTGTCTGTCCTTTGTCTGATAATTCAGTGCAGATTGAAATGGTTTACGTAATGACATATACAGTTCAAGTTGAAAAGCTATGCATTTAGACAGCTATGTGCATGGAATCCTTTATATTGAAATCTGTTGGATATGTTGATCAGAATTACGTAGAACACTTGTTATAAAATATGCAATATATGTACTTCAACAATTGATATGAGGGAAGTTTGGAGAAAATATTAAAATGGAAAAATTTCATTTGTTCTTATTGCGGATAATGTCAGTTACATCGGAAAACCTGCTAATTTTCGTATAAGCCACACAACATGTCTATACTTAAGCGTGACATGCAGTTAAGAACCTGAACGTTTATAATGTAAAAGTGTGTCCACACAGTGAATTCCAGAGTATCTTTACCATAAAATTAATTATTACAAACAACATAAACTGTATTGAAATCATAAGGTTTTGTATTGACATCCAATCACTTACTTGATAAAGATTCATGTTTGCCATGTCAAAAGTCATGAAGTCTGGAGATTTCATTAAGTCCTGGGCATTCCGTCCAAGCTCACAAACGAGTCTGTCTTTCTGGTAAGAAAATACATGACAATCTGTTCTAACTAAGCATTGTTTGATACAATCACGAATGGAACCAAGTGTTGATATGTATATTATGTTAGCCTTCACACGCTTTCCATTCAAAGATAATTGAGTTAAAGAGGTAGTGTCCAGACACACAGCAGTGCATGCCCTTATATGTAATACACAAAAACACGTCAGCCACGTACATAGTTGTTTTGTCCTATATTTCATTCCCATCACTGCCATATTTTATTATAGGAAACAATTGACAAAAAGATAAATGACTTCCATTTTACTCCTTTTGTTTCCCTGTCAATGTCATAATTTCCGACTTTGATACATCCGGGTCGTTCAGTATATTTGCCTGTAACCGTGAAGTCCGTTAGTTGCATGAAAACATTTTGAAACAGTCTGAAATTGAAACCTATATATATGTACTTGCCAGGAATAATTGTTATTACGGTACATGGTTACGGTTAATTGACAGAGATAATAAAATTGCACCTGCATTAAAAATTAAATGGTAGAAAAAGAAAGCAACGTATCTTATTTTTAAAAATTGTTTCAACGCAATCTGCGTTCAAATTAAAAGCACCACTGATGCATTGAAAGACCTTATGACGCAGTCCTTTAACGATATAGAATTCCGAGTCTGTCATGTTTGTCTATAAAAAGCATCAATTTGTTGACATTAGATATCAATATTATTTCAATATTACAATTAACAAAATGTTCAAATGACATATCAGTGAATAATGTCTCTTATCACTAATATTTAGAACTAGATACATCAGAGCAAATTAATGACTTAGACTACATATCAAAACTGACACTCGCCTTTCAACGCCTTGTCAGTGATGCTAAGGGCCTGAATATTAAAATCTATGAAATGATATAGAAAACTCAAAGAGTTCGAAAGAAATATCAAACTCTATATGTAGAGGTGTTCTCGTCCAATAATTCAATAGTTTTTTGTAATTAATTCAAAGACCATGCGTTCATCCTGTTCGAATATGGCATGCTGGTTAAAAAAATCTTCCGTATCTTAGGATGAGTCATAGTTACAAAGGACCTAACGTAAACGCCATGAAACGGTTCCAAATCTCGATGTTGAAACTGGAGTCAGTTTTGCCCCGCCTCTTAGGTCTCTGTGGATTGCCCAGGGAAAGTTACTGCAAAATTTCATTGACATCGCTTCATAATTTTTTGAGAAAATGTTAAAAGTTTATGACGTCGGACAAAAGACAATATCAATAAAAATCATTACACTATGCTTCTTCTGATCATTATAATGATCTACCAATGACTAAAGCGGTAAGTTTTGTACAGAATGTCTTTATTTTGATATGATATACAAATATTCGAAATTAAGATATGAAACTCTTATTGTACAGTTGAAACCAGAAAATGATTACGAACATATTTTTTACATTAAAGTGGGGTCTGATTATACCGAGCTTTTCTATATTGGCTCCATTTCAAACAAATTACCAAAAACATAATTAATTAAACCAATTATAGATTTTAGATCTAATTGTGTTTAAAGATCTAGTAAACATCAAATTCTTTGAGATGAAGCGACTGATTTATCTCCGTCGTTAAAAAAGATGGGAAATAAAACAGTGAAGGGTGAATACTGTTCAACTAAGTTCTAAAATTAAAGTAATAAATGTCTTGAAACGTGTCATCCTCCGAAAACACTGGTTGATGGTTATCTATGAGAGCTCTGACCTCTTCGTTGACTGTTGGGAAGGAATGATAACTCTGTCGTGCTGAAAATTTAAAAAAAATCCAGCATCAACATATGAATTGCGTGCATGGCACATTGGATATATTGCAACGAATCTACATTATACCGGGCGTAAAACATAACATGTATTCCAACTTCAAAATCAAATAGTATCCATTTCAATGTTCTCTTTTGGGCAAAAATTACTCAACTATAACGCAACCGTCCTCATATGCAGTGCGTGGAACCCTATCTTCGTTAACTTATCGAGTGTTTCACCACTGTGTTCTGAAACCATGGGAACAGGTAAACAAAAACTGTTTCTCTGATGTTTCCTTTTGTAGACCAGCAGTGTTTTCTCCATGATAATTTTTTCACTTACTGTAAAATCAATTATTTTCGTGTGGAATTTATTTTCATTAATTTAGTAGGTAATCTTAATACACAAATTCATGTTTACGAACTGTGAGAATAGGTATATAAATATATACCGAGCTATATTTTTCAAGAAATCAAATGTCTACGACACAGTTTAATTTTTAACAAAGAAGCAGAGATTGAGCCCCCCAAAATAGATTATTCTACATCAAATACTGTCAGTCCATGCTACATTGACGCATTCACAAAACACATTTAAAATTGTCAATAATAGTAGTAAGCAAAGTAGATTGCGGAATTATCGCCTACCCTCAGCAAGAAAGAAGTCGGCGAAATAATGCGCAACTTGTATGGCGTGGGCGTCATGGTTGTTCACAAAGTGAAGGTCCCAGTTATAGACGTTCTTCTCGGGATGGAACTGGACTCCATAAAACGGGTAGTTTACGGCTGAAAGAACATTACAATACATGTTTCTAGTTCCGTGGCATGGTAACGGACAATTTGATACATAGTGTTAGCTTACGTTGGAGACTAATTGATGACTAAAACTTTGAAGGACATTTGAATGTAAGCGACACCCTGTTAAATGGAATTTTAAAATATAGTTATGCTATCTCATATCTGCATGAATGCATCCTTCTTAAATTTTTTTTTTTCATTCATTTTTTTGTTTTATATACAAAATTCGACTTGTTCGTTATTTTGAATAATTTAACTTCTGAGCCAAATATGACATCCACAATCAGGAAATATACGTTTTACTTATCATAATAACATTTTCACTTATTGCATTGAAAATGTCTTAAACGAATTGCGAATATCACATTATTCCATAATTTCCAAATCTGAAAAAATGGAAATTTCCGTTTTATAGGGTGGCCATCTTTATAATGTTTCTGAGAGAGACAAACATTTATAAGAAACAGATTAAAGTTTCCGCTAAATATCTTAAAGTATTTACTAACCAAGTTATCTCCAGATCCAATTATGTTTCTCATCCGACTGCAAATCGTTATGAAAATATTATCTTGTCAGTGTAATAACACCCGTTCTGTAAACTGTTTAATGACTAATAGCGGGTGTTTTATCGGCTAAAGGTTATGATCGTTTCAAATCTGACTTAAAGCTTCATAGCTTCACAAAGACAGCGATACAGAGTAGGACGATAACCTGTTTATATAAGTATAGCGAAATACTATGTTCACTAATGCCTAAATAGATATGATTTATGTGAAAAACATAATTTTGTATTTGTTTAACTTCGTCAGGGGATCAGTAAAATAAAAATGATCTAGGTCTTATTTATGTCTTATGAAACGAAAGCTCATATATGTTCATATATTCATGTTCGTCAAAGTCGCAGCATACTAAAATCTCACGTAGTATAGTGTTTGATTTCTTTAAATGAACACAGATCCTAATTTACCTTCCATTGATGATATGTACTCTTTTCCATTTCTATCAAAATTCGTCGACATCACACAGTAGAACGTATTCAGCAAACAATTTTCACTGAAATTCTGAATAAACAATACTGATTATTTACACCTACAAACAAATACGTATTCCCAAAAGTCACCAAGTATACATTCCTCTAAGTGATACATTACGTAACTTGTTTTTATGTCTTACCTTGTTCTCATTTTGAGAACATGTTATCAGATAAATAGATGTACAATTATCGTTTAGTTCCTGCTTTACTCGATGGAATACTGCATATTAATAGAATACAACAAAGTCTAGATCTCGAATTGCCCTCAGAATCTAAATCCAAATTCAAAGTCGAAAAAAATTCTAGGAAAACATGAATAAAGGGATTATTTACCGCTGTAAAAAGTACATAGATGGTTGTTTTGTTTACATTTCGTAGATAAAGATATTCGATAAAGTGCTGAGCTTGTAATTAAAACCTATTTAGAACAAATGACTTATTTAACACCAACCCGGACGTCATATTAAGCACGCAAAATACGTTGTTCTTGACGTCTTGTTTGCAGTATGCCATTAATGAAGTATATTCGCGCTGAACATCTTAGTGTAGATTTCAGTCAATATGGCACAGAGGTAGATAACATTTTTTGTTGCAACATCATTCAATAAGAATAAAGTAATTTCTTTTGTGTAATAAAAATGTCAAGTTACCTGCGGCGTCAGTCCATAGTCATGGAGATTGGAAGTGACATTTTCATTTGCTAGTGCTCTGCGCACGTTGTCGGGAATATTCTGGAACAATCTGCTGTTCCGGAAGTCTGTGGACGGTACGTTGACAGGAATATTAATGGTGAAAGAGTCAATAGCCAGTTATATTAAACCATGAAAACTATTAATAATGAAGAAAAAGACCTGCCAAAACTAGTGGATCATATATTTAAGTCCATTACCAGTACATGATCGTTTTGTACTTAAATTACTGTGATATAACATTGTTAAAATGTTGGAACTCATGCAATACTTACAAAAAGTTTTATAAATGAAAAGATGTGAATGCAAATTTAGAAGTAGAAGGGACTAAACCTAGTCGACGACTGAAGAAAAACAATAACATATTACCATGTTTGAAAGTTATAGGTAGAGGTCCATTGTAGGGCCTGTACGCCAGTAGATTCTCTCCTGCTGTCAAAGCTGTTAGGAGTTGGAGACCCTGACAGGTGCCCCAGATAGGGAAGTGATCACCTTCGTCGTTAGCCTGAAACAAAATATCTGACATAATGATAGTGTGTAGAATGACACAACAATCTGGCTATAAGCCAAACATTGACAATCCTTATTCTTAGTGATGTAGTCTAAAATCAATCACCTTCACCATTATCAGCCATGATCATATAAAATACTAGTGATTGGAACTTCAAATTTAAAGCCTTCCAGGGTAGCTTTCCAATTAAGGTTTAAGTGAATTCATTTACATTGTATTAGTTGAGATTTCAAAAAAAAAAAGAAAAAAGAAAAAAAAAACACACTTTTGTTTCATATGGTGTGAAAATACCGTCATTTGGGGAAATACTGACGCACAGGAATATGGTTTACGGAGATCTTTATGAGCGTTTTTGTTTTAATGCGAGTGATAAAGTTAAAGTGGAACATACCTTCAGTGCCATTTTGTAGAGTTTCTTGGCGGCTTGGGCATGGTATGATGTCATGACATTTACACTGCCTCCGGGAAGAAGGACACTAAAGAGATCAGATGATTCATGTGATATTAGAAACATCAAACACCATGTAAATGTTTTGACTATGTTACTGACTTGAGTCATGATTTATGTCATGTATAACGGTTCTACCTGGATGACAATAGACTTAATATTAAAAAAATTACTATTGTTTTCCTACAGTCAGGTATGAGATCCTATTGATCTGGAAGTTAATTATGACTTTAAAGGATAATTATGATGTCCCAATATATTGCTACATTTGTTCATAAATGCACATTATGTTATATTGGCAATTGCCCAGTACAACTCTGGATTAATTATGTATCTGCAATATACACCAATTAATCACATGCTATACCATTATTGTCTGTGATACTTATTAATCATCCGTGATACCTTTTATTTATCACCTGTAATACCCGTTATTTACCTGTGATACCCGTTAAATATCCGTGATACCTATTAATCACCTGTAATACCCGTTATTCACATGTGATACCCGTTAATCATCCATGATACCTATTAATCACCTGTGATACCTATTAACCCCATGTGATACCCGTTAATCACCTGTGGTACCCGTTAATTATCTGTGATTCCTGTTAATCAATCACCTGTAGTACCCACTACCCGCCTGTGATACCCGTTAATCACCCGCGATGCCCGTCAATCACCCGTGATGCCCGTCAATCACCCATGATGCCCGTTAACCACCTGTGATTCCTGTTAATTACCTGTGATACCCATAATCATCCGTGATACTTACCCGGTATCAGGAAATCATTTAGAATAAGATTTGTTATCTGTGATACTTGCCCATGAAATGAAATTTTACCCATTATGATTCTAATCCATTAATTCTCTGTGACGTTACCCATTAATCCTCTTAAAGATATCCTCGTAGTACTCATCGCGCTCGTTAATCCTGAAATAAAAATGTTACTGTTTAGGGGAAATTGAGAAAATGCAACGTTGATAATTTATTATGCAATGTATATTGGTTTGACAAATTTATCACAAATACTCTTCCCGAATACAGAAATACAGTATTAATCATCAATTACACATTAAACTACTTCGACACCATCAAGGTGTTTTACATTTTATAGAATTGTCTGAATTTGTTTTACGTCATTGAATTGTAATATAACATTAGAATATTAAAGTCAGTATGAACCATTGCCAAGACATTAGAAAAGTAGGATACTATAAACACGACATAAAATACAATATGTTCTTAGCATCAGCAATCTAGGACTCGTCCATGATGCTAAAGACCTGAACTGTGTAAGCATAGCATGCAACTAAGAAAAATTCAAATTAGGCAATAGACAGAAACGTAGGATACACGAACCTAAAAACTTCATGATATTCAATATTGATTTATTTAAAAGTCACGTGCATGCGTAAGAATTAAAACTTGGCGAGTATGTCACGGCAAACCTCTGAATATTTGGTTGTTGATTTCTATAGATATTGATGATATCCAGTGTTGTTATACAAACATCGTTTCAGTTACGTTTTATATTGTAGCTCCTAAGGAAATAACACACGCATGCCTATTACCCACTTGATGGGGACAACTCTGGCTCCTGCTGCCTCTGACCATTTGACGTATGACGCAATAATGTAGCTATTTGAGGTATCCGTGTCACTTGTCTCTTGTGCCACCACCCCTTTATAAACAAAAACGTGTGTTAACAATGTAAATGAGTATTTCATATATAAAGAGTCCGTTATTGGCATAAAAGCTAACAATATATAACTAATACTGGAAAAATTGACACTAACGATGATTGTGATTGTAAAGAGAGTTTTATCCGGCCATGATCTAAAATAAGTGTATTTTGTCCGCATTGAAAAGATTTAAATTACCATGTTGGATTGCGGCAAACTGCGGGGAAATTATATCTACTAGTACGAATTAAAATCACTACGAAGAGAGAGCACAAAAAATACAAAAATGAAAAGCACCTTTTAATCCGAACTAAGAATTAGCTACAGTACAGCCAAATAATGAATTGTACTGCATTATACAGCTGTTTCTTCCTTTCTAGAGTCTGAAACCTTAGATACGACTGCGGAAAATCCGGAAGAAGTGATCGAAAGGAATGTCTTAAACCGAATGGAGAATTATTTTTTCCCATTATGAAGGACTTTGGTAATTTATATATATATGTATATATGTGTGTGATAATTTTAGAAGAACGTCAATTACATATTTATATTGTGAAATGTGCCAATATTTGAATGAATTAAGACTGGAACGAAATATCCTTCGGCAGTGTCTACTACCTGCATTCTCGGAGATTTTACAAAAGAAGCACAAGTCAATAGCACCACAGTTTACAATTAGATACAGTAGAGTCAAATAATGAATTCAAATGCATCATACATTTGTTTCGTCCTTTCAGGCATCGATAGCGATTATTGTTTTTGAAATCTAGAGGCAAGGAAGTAATAAAGAGTAATCGAAACAAGCTGCAAAAAATTAGATAGGGTTGTGCAATAGCCTTATCATTAACCAGATTTAGGATTTTTTATATGTCTGATAATTTCTGAAAACGCCAAATATATGTTAGGATATACAAGTACATACTTATTTAAAAAAAAAAAAAACAACAACAATAACGACATAATATAGTAACATAGTAATCAATTAATCTCATACTTCAGCACAATCCTGTCATAATATTTAGTTATTCATAAGGTTATTGAAGTAACACAATCTAAACAAATGCATTATTTATCACCTCTCTATACATCAGCAAGACGTCAAAACAGCATGCATTGTATATTTGCTTACCAATTATAGGCCGTAGATTCAATATTTTTGCTTCATTCGTGTCTGCGAGGAAACAAAGAAGAGTAACAGTCAGCATTGTCCACATGATTGGGTTGTCTGAAATACAGAGATAAATTTGTCATATCACATCCCAATATATATTTCAAAGTATAAAATTGGGATGGTAGGCACTTTTAATTGATGATAAGCGTAAATGTCTTGCCTAACGGTTCCTATTTCACTGTATCTGCCATAGCGACTCGTTCATCTTACTCGATTTAATGATGAAAGGTTGTGTACGTCATAATAAATAGCACTAGAACCTTTGTTTATACAATTATTTATGTAGAAAATGCACCTTGACCCCTACAGCTAAAATATGTTTTATAAAAAATAAGTATTTACAATATGTAGACATGTATAACCGGGTTGCTTTGAGATCATTGGGATAAAGACTTTTAGAGGTACCATCTAAAGAACCTAATTAGAATGCACAGTGAGCAAACAACTTTGGTGTGAACATTTTACCATCGGGAAAACCTGAAAAACCAACATTCATCCTTACAAGAACAACACCTTCAGCATGCAAAGAACAGAAAACGTTGGAATAGTGATGAAATATCAAGATCACTGTATATGCATGATTTAAGATTATGTTGATACAAATGATTACCTCTGGTCCTAAATTTGTCTTCAAATGATGTTAAGCGAATATAATCAAAGAAAGGTGGAAATATTGTAATATTCAAAAACGTAACATCAAAGATACGAGTGTCATAAACAATGAATGTGCCTGGTACAAATTGATGAATGTCCTTAATTAAGAAACAACATGGTGCTTTCCATAATTCCGTCCTTTCAAAATCACAAATAGTTAGTTCTTTTCTACGTTTAAAGTTATAAGAAGTTGATACAAGAATTATTTTATGAATTTCCAAAGTTACATATGGAATAGCGTTGGTTTGAATTTGTTAATTTCTAAAGTTACAAATAAACCTGCGTTAAGTAGGATTTATCATTGTTTAAAGTTACACGCAAAGTTTTGTTTTTGGAATGTTGAAAGTTATTGACAAAATGTTTCTAGAATGGTTGAGTTTATTTCCAAGGCGGTAGGTATGATTTATATAAACCATTGAAAATAGTGCTTGATTTAATAACTGGCCAATTTTACAAACAAAATGGATAAGTATGCTTTTAAGTTACAAATAATTCGCTTGTGAATGAACATTCAAAGGTATCATCAAACGAATACATATAGACAGTTTGGTAAGTTAATCAACAGATAGTTTTTATATCAATGTGGTCACTTGCTACAATCTTAAAATGGATAGGAAAATTTTGGTAAAATAGGTAGCCCAGTACATTTCCATATGGTACCTCGACCGCCTTGATTGAAAAACCCCATCGCTCCAGTATGTTATTATTAATCAGAATGGATTATTTAAATAATAATATAACAAATTCCAGTTTATTATTGCAATTAGAAAGATTTTGTAATTTCATTAACTCGTAAAATCATGGTAAATAATGTGTACTCCTACCTGCTCTCGGATATCAACAGATCCACTTCTTAAAACAGTTGGGTGTGCAATGCGGAGTTTCTCATTTTGTAAACGACAATTCATTGCATTTATATAGCATTATACAATTGGACTAGTTTCAAATGTCCGTGATTAAACAGGATCTCTCCTTTAAACACAAGTCGAATTCCTGGTATATTCTGTTATTTTTAGTCGCCGATATAACACAGCATATTGTCGATTACATTTATACTCTGAATATGGAGTAGTTCCGGGTGCAATTATACAGAAATACAGGCTGAATTCCTGGTATGTCAGATTTGTCTTTCAGTGTTTTTTTTCACAACCTGCCTATTGTTACATCGATATTCATTGTTTATTTGTAAACCCCTTAAACATTATCTCCATTTGCTTAGACCATAACATTTGGCCAATGGGTTGTTGCAGGTTTTCAATGGTTTATATAAACATATGGAAATATGTACGAAATACAATAGATTGGTTAATTGTGTTAATAGAAACAATCTTAGTATACAGGGAGGTCATGATTTGGGAACACAGAAGGTAATTTGATTTGAGAATACAGGTAGGCCTCAGATGTGGAAATAAGGGGAGGCCTTTAAAATGGGAATAGAAGGATATATTGGAAGTGAGAATACAGGAAGGTCTCTGATGTAGAAATAAGGGGATGTATTTGAAGTGAGAATATATGGAGTCCTTTAATTTTAGAATACAGGAAGGCCTTTGTTGTGAGGAATAGGTTTCTAATATAATACTGAATGACTGACGCTGATAATTGTTTCTTCTGCTACAAGAAAGTTTATAAAAAGTGCTTTGGCAAATATTGAGAATCAAATTTTACTGGAAACATTAATTTTGTTTTGAATGGTAATACGTTTTTGAAATAAGGGTTTTGGTTTTCAATTCATTAAAACTTATGGTCATCTCTAAGTATCAAACAACGAGAGCCATTATATAAGTGCATGTTGACCTTCCTCTTCGACTCCGAGGTTCAGACGCGAACATATTACTTCTTAAAACCCTCTGCTCAGGGAGCTTAACATGTTTTAGGTTGACAAGCAAGCAATAATAAATACTGTTATAAAGATATCATTATTATTATTAATGAGTTGAAACAGTTTTTGTGGAAAATCTTTTAATGTATAAAAATCAATACCACGTGGAATCTATCCATCTATACCGACAATATCCTCTGATATATAATGTGTATATATTATATAATGAATTAAAATAATTTAATATGATACTAGCTTGTCGGTGACTTATAGGCTTATCCTTCTCTCAAATTCCTTTATACAATGAAATTATGTTGTGAATTAATTTCTACTTGGTTTATTCCGTTTATTACGTCCTTTGCTCATTAGGAAAATTACGTTGTAAAATGGTAATTTTCAAGGCGAAAACTTTCCATTGAATACTGCAAGAAACCATTATCATAACGGGGAAATTTAGACTGATGATAATTATCTTAACGCGATCTCCATGTCATGATGGTTTTTTCGGGTTTCATTTTATGAAAATTACTGCCTCGAGAAAGACTTGTTATTTTTTTGATTTTTGGGATTTTTTTTATGATAATATCTACAAATTTAGAAAACTCGCGCAATATAAAGATCACACATCGCCGTTCCGGTGTTGTTAACATAGGATACCAATCATTGAACAATGAAGCTGTCTCTTTTTCTGTCATTTTTGAAATTAAAAAAATGACGGCAAAATATTTGAAATAATTCCAATATTTGATTTGACCTTTTTGTCTTATAATTTGGTCACAATTTACAAAACCGTCCTGAAAAATGCCACTGTTTCTTTCTTAGATTGAATCTAAACATGTTATATACAACGAACAGTCTCGAAAGTGGGTATTTTGTGATGCTGATGTTAATTCCATCAGTTTGATTCGTTAGCAAAGGAGATGTGCATCTCTCATATGTGTTTTAATACTTTATGGAGCAAGAAATACTTCTGAAACTTGCTGCCAGACACCAACAATTTCATCCCATAGTATGGCGATTGGAATGAACTTCGTCAAATTATCATGTAGGAAGGTACGATGTAAATTTACTGACAGCGGAAATCCCTATTGCAGTAAAACCGTATAATTAAGACAAATATACTAAAACTATTCTTTCTCGTAAAATGTTTTATTTTGATGTCATGTACAAAGCTTCCAAATAAGCATATACAAATATTTTACATTGAACCTATTGAATGTTATTACTTACATTGGAAGATTTGTGATTTTGGAGTTAATTGATTAAAATGAAATCACAATAATCTTTATTAATTATTAAGTGATTTTTAAAATATATTCAAGTTGAATATTAAATGCTTAGAGACACTGCAACTGAAAAATTTAATTTTTTAAAAGTGTTGAAATAGAACAGTCAGGGGTTACCACTTAAACTCTGAATCTATAGTAATAAGTGTCTTGAAATGACGTATCTTCCGAATACACTGGCTGATCGTTATTAATGATTGCGCTGATTTCTTCATCAACCGTAGGGAAGAAATGACTACTCCGTCGAGCTGAAAATGAAAACAAATCATAACTTATTATAGCAACATCATCATATTTACTGCTTGAAAGATATATTTCATACATCATACTGTCATATTACTTGTAAACCAGGGAGTCCATGTTCAGGTTTTTTTTTTTTTTTTTTCGTACACGAAATAAAAATCTATTTCCCAGCCTTCCGTTCGCGGTAAAACGTGACACAAATATTTCAGCATCAAATTGAACACGTCTTTTATTTCGCCTTATTTGCAAGCGTGTGTTACGAACGAAAGTTCTATATTGCGGCGACAGCTTGATTAATTTCGTGTGGTTTTATTTCTGCCATTTTTCTAGTATGGAATAAATCCACGAGAAAGAAAAAAATATTTAACATGAATTCTATTAAGAAAGAAATAATCAATAGCATTACCGTCGTTAAATAATAAATTTCTTTGTATTAATTTATTGACAAAAAATTCAACGTTGACCAGTTTTCGAGATTTTTAAACTTCCACTTTAATTCTTGAAAGGAGATGCCATTTATTTGATCGGTCAAGTAACGTATAATAATCTCGAGTAGGATCATGCATACCCTCAGCAATAAAGAAGTCAGCGAAGTAATGCGCTACTTGTATGGCGTGGGCGTCATGGTTGTTGACAAAGCGAAGGTCCCAGTTATAGACGTTCTTCTCGGGATGGAACTGGACTCCATAAAACGGGTAGTTTATGGCTGAAAGTAGGAACATATAGCAGTTGTCTACCGTGTATGTACTGTGGTATGTTCATCTTGCCTGAACTAATTTTTGTCATTGAAGTTCAACATCACTGGACATCCTGTCTGATAAGACTTCTGAGTCAAATATGATTTTTAAAGTATATTTAAATAGGGATTAGAATTCGTGAAGATAAATAAAATGACAACGTTCATAAAACATAATATTTTCGTAAGTAACGAAATTTATAAGAGATGATTTTTTTCCGCTTAGGCACTAATATGTAATCTTTTGTTACGATTAAATCAAATGGTTTCATCATAATATTTGCTTTTATGTCTCTTTTCTCTTGTGGTATTTCAAGAAAGTGCAAGAATAGTTGACTTTTAAAATCGGAAATTTGCCTTTCGATGTGTTTCATTTCATGAAAAATCAAGACTATTTGGTATTCCATTCTATGAGAATGATGAAGAATTTAAACATGCTTCTCTTTGTAGAGAATTTGAAATACGATAAATATAGTATCAACAATATAACTTATTTGCAATAATGTAATAGAGCATCCTACTTTTCTATTTTTAATGTTAGTTTACCTTCCATTGATGATATGTAAACATTTCCGTTTTCATCTAAATTTCTTGACATTTCACGGTAAAAATTCTTCAACGCACTGTTTCGACTGAAGTTCTGAAAGATACATACAAAGAGAATAAATGATAAAAAATGTTAATAGATATTAACTGACGTCATCAAATATGGATTTCTTACAATGCATACCCTCGGGTTCGCTGACATTATTTAACAGGATGATCTTAGCGCACATGTCACAGTCAGAAAATACCTTATCATAATCATGATTTCTTTACGTGGGTAATAATTTGTCCTAAATAAAATCCTGCGGGTTTTGTTGATTATAACCAAGCGACGATTATGAGACCTCATTGAGAACCTTTTATGTAATTGACATGTATATGCACACCATGTCTTTTTTGATGAAATACAAGTCATAAACGCGATCTGAACAAATTGCCAATAGTCTCAGTGTCAATATTTCTTCTATTCATAATAAGCTCTCATTTCAGGAGCCACCATGTAAATATTTCTCTTGTCCATGATATTCTGCCTGGGTGTGCTTGATGCCTGTTAGATTTGTCTGTTGGTTTCGTCGTTGTATAACTTGTTCTACGATTGCTTTGGAATTAGTTGTCATGTACATGATAATTTATTTTGACCTTTGACGTCTATTCTTGACCAATGAAAACCAGAATCTAATCAGTGATAAAATTCGATAATTAAATGCTATAGAGGTATTATGGAATTAATTTGTCCAAGGGTTCGCGAGGTGTCTGGCAGAGAGGATTTAATCTTGGGCGGTTACCACAAGATCTATTTAGTATAGATATTTGGTATAGAATATAACGGTCTGATGTATGAATGAAAACTAAATTGAAGAAGGGTTCTATTTATTTAGTACACAACCTTTGTAAGTACCCACGGACGTACAGGCAACTCTGAGGCGGAATACTTACTGTTTACAATTAGTAATACGGGGAGTTAATAGTGAGAAAATTACCGTTGGCGTCAATCCATACATATGGAGATTGGAGGTGGTTTCTTCATTAGCTAGTGCGCTGTAAACATTTTCGGGAAGGTTCCGGAATAATCTACTCTCCCGAAAAGCTACGAAATAACCAATAATGATATAAATGTTTTCAACTTCAAATTTACACAACAGTCAAAGGAACATAACAAAACGGAATGATAGGCCTTATTTACCACTCAAATATGTATAACACATTAGATTTCACATACAAGAAATACATGAAAAAGAAATGCTATTCACAGTTAAACACAAAAATAGTTAAATATAGAAATGCAAAACATTTGCAAACTGTATTACACCTTTTAGGGAGACATTTTGTTTAATTTTGTTTATAAAACACTATCAAATCAACCGAAGATCTACGAAAGAATTATTACCAGATAAGAAGTCTAAACTTGAGACACCATTGTACGGTCTATCAGCCAGAAGGTTCTCGCCTGCAGTCAAAGCGGACAGGAGTTGAAAGCCCTGACACGTCCCCCATATAGGAAAGTAATCTCCATCATCATTAGCCTGAAAGCAACACATTTATATAAGATGTCGTAAAACAATGAATTAAAATGCATCACACAGCCGTCTCGTCCTTCGAAGACTCGTCGGCGATGCTAATAGCATAAATTGTGAAGCCTAATAGGCGATTGATGAAAAATATTAAGTGGTCGAAAAAAATGTCAAACTCTGGATGTGGAGGAGCACCAACCCCATAATTTAGAACGTATTTTATACACACAACTATTTTCGTTGGTCAAAATTCCCGTAGATACTGGGTAAAATACAAAATTCAAAACATATACAATTGATTATAACAGAATGCTATGAAATGACAATCACTCTGTAATTAGTTTACAACTGACCATTTTAATAACAGCGTGCAAAGTTTAGCTAATCAATTGCTGTGAAACGCAGAAATTCACTTTGTGAGAATTAATGTTGTTAAACTTATTTTATAAACATGTTCGGGATCACTTTAGCGTAGACGTTACGATGAAATAGATCGCTCTACTGTAACTGATATCTAATGCAGAACAATTTTATTGTGAAATGGACTATGTAGTTACGTGGATGCACATAAATACACTTCACATGTTGGAAAACGTCCAACATTAATCGAGTTCCTTATTTTTGCGGGACTCAATTTACGTGGACACTGAGTTTTGTAGAATACGTTTAGCTCAATATGCCAATATAAACTTCTTTCACCAATCCCTGGACGTATAAAAAATACACATGAAAACAATGCAAAATAATCCACCACGAAAATGAACGATTTAGCATTAACCGAAAGTCATGTGTGATATATCGCAATCAGGTTATCTTCCAGGAAAATACACACTTTTGAAGGAATGCAAATAGTAAAAAATATATTGGATACATACCCTCAACGCCATGTTGTACAGCTTCTTAGCAGCCTTGGCATGATAGGACGTTATGATATCAATGGAACCCCCAGGGAGCAGCAACCTATGATTGATAAGAGGAATAAACACGTTCATTGACTTTGCCGGAGGTTCTATCCGGGACATTGTATCTCGAAACAACAAACTGATGCGTGGTCAAAGGGTTATAATTACTGTAAGACCATTTTTTCTGGGGCTCAATAATCTTTGGTTTTCAAAAACATAATCATCGTGGACATTTAATTTCGTGGATAAATATAACAGGATGAATCAGATTTTACGAATTTTAAAAGTCCGTAGACATATGTATTCGTTGGTTAAGATAGCATTGAAATCAATGAAAATAAATCTCCAACGAAAATTAATGACACTACAGTATTTAACAGCTCTATTTCAATGACATTTTTTGTGTTTAAGATAAAAAGCAATGTCTTTAGAATGATAACCTTTAATAGTGGCATGTAAAGTATATCATATAAGAATAAGTTTAAAACAATTCAGAACGAGGATGTTACTGACGCTAAGTGAACTTTACAACAACCTGCGAACATATCAGGATCAAAATGCTTCAAGCTTCGCAATTACAAAGAAGGGAAACTTAAAACTGAAAATTTAATTGTATTATTAACGTATATAAAATAATTAATTATCTGTGATACGGTTACTTATCAGTTAGTTCTGTAATACTGATTTATATCAGTAATTAATTATCTATGATACGGGGTGCTTATCTGTTAATTCTATAACATTTACCCACTGAAACGTTTTCAGACTTCTCCTTAAAATATCCATTTGTTGACTACGATATCGATACATTAAGTCTATGTGAAAAACTAACCATTAATTATCCCTGATTCTAGTCAATATATCTGTATGTTACCGTTAGTACTGTGGGCAATATGTCCATTGATTATCTGTGATATTTAATATCAAATTGTTTTAATTTACGTTATTTAAACCTCATTCTGTCAACATTGCGACCATTTTATTTTCGAGTACCTGACTGATCAGTTTAGAATTGTAATTGTATGATAGAAAGTTATATTACACTAAATAAACAAAGTGTCCCCCTCTGTACGCTGGCTGTTAAATACATACCTCCCACATCCGAAATACACATCATATATCATTATTTCTGTATTCTTCTGTTAGTTCTGTGAGAAATGTGTCCATGTATTATGTATGATATTTAATTACATGTGTTGTTACGCAATGGATCTATGTAATAGTTACCCATTGATTCTGTGAAATATAGTCTCATAATAGTCATCCGGCTCATTTATTCTGAAAAAGAAATATAATTGAATGTAAGATTGCAGACATGAACATAATGATAAACCTTGGTTCGAATGTGTGTATGTAGTTAATGTTATGTAATATGATTAATTACTGTTCAAAAATGAGAACAATGTAAACAACATAGAACCACTATCGAACATTAAACACTTCATATGACACAAAGAAATCACTTTTTTCACTTTTTTATTCTAACGATAGTTAAACTTTCACATTTACCTATCCTGAGGTGCATCAATGTACAATTTTATTTATGGTTACGACAATGATGAATTGTTGCCGACTTTAGAACAACAAGCCACAAATGAATCCTGTTAAACAAATTAAGCCTATACAAGATCAAAACTGCATTACATTATATTATAGTTTAAACCACTTTGCTAGGTCTTAAGATATGCTTCTTGTTCTGGTTGATATTAGTTTATAGCATTAGGTTACATGTATATGTTGTAATAACGACATTTTAATACTCTCATATCACCCACTTGATTTCCCTTTTAAACAACTCTATATCAACATTATACCCACTTGATAGGGACAACTCTTGCTCCTGCTGCCTCTGCCCATTTGACGTATGACGCAATAATGTAGCTATTTGAGGTATACTTGTCACCTGTCTCTTGTGCTAGTACCCCTTTATATAAACAAAAATGTATGTTTATAAACATCTGTCATATACAAATGATATTATTATGATACAAACTAGTCACATAAACGATTAACCGATCAACGGATATAAAAGACAGTAATTGTGATTGTAAGTAACGACAGACATATCTGGTAGGTGGCAGTTTTGTATCATGCAGGGTTACGACAAACCATTGAGATTTAAAATTAATCAGGGAAGTCAGTAAATATCACACTACACGTCTAAGATTTTACAGAAACACACGTGTAAATAGTATCATTCAATATAAAATTAGACCTAGATAGAGTCAACTATGATAAAGCTTAATTACTGAATTAGTTATTGGCACATAAAAATGAATCCTTAATTGAACTGCATCACGAAGTTTCAAGTAGACAGGCTTTCGATAAACCTTTCTATTTAGCACGTTTCACTAGAAGACCTATCACCTACCATGTCAAACGATCAGTTATCACTGAAGAGGCCTATGCTGCTTAACACCATTTACATACATCTGATGACACATAATTAATTTACCTAGGTAGGTGTATACAGTTTCTCGGTATGGCTAAGGCGATATTTTTGTTCATTAGATTACATCTATTAAAATTTTAAATATATATCCCCGATAAAATTAGTGTGGTTATTTTTAATTAGACAATACCAGATTACTATAAGTCTAGTCTCGAAAACGAGTCTACACACCGATTTAACAGGAAGTGAAATTTCCTTATTGTCTACACGTGGTAATGGTGTGAAGCCATACTGAAATTTGCTGAAACGTAAGTAATTTGTTAACATGACAATGTCGTAATTTTCAGACACGTGATTAGAAATAAATGTCTCATATATAGATATAGATTTGGGTTGCTTTTTAGCAGTTTTAAAGTTGGTAACCATGGCAATCATAAATCGAAAGTAGTGATGGCATGCTTTGTATTGAAACATCTACAACCAGTTTCAGCAGGAGATCACAGCAACATGCATGATCTGCTTACCAATAATCGGTCGAACAGTCATTGGTTTTGCATCATTTCCGACCGCGAGGAAACAAAGGAGAATGACACTGAGTATCGTCCGCATGGTCATATTGTCTGAAACAAAAAAAAACATGACCGAAATATATAACTTAGCTGATATATATGTCGGATTTATCGTTGCTGTCATACCACGAAGTCAGAATACTTGTCTGTGTACCCTTTGATTTCGGAAGACAATAGGCACGTGTATACAACTGTGTTAAACGCGATGTAAATAATCCATGAATATTGCAACTATTTTATCCTCCGTGTACCTGATTGGTCAGTTTACAAATATTAATTGTATGATAGAAAGTTATATAACAAAAAATGTCTAAAATGTCCCAGGCTATAAGCTGACTGTTCAGTAAATACTTACCACATCCAAAATACACAATATATATATCAAAATAGAAAATTGATTATTGGCGACGTAAAAACAAAAAGCGGCATGACGTTTACAAAAATTTTCATGGACGAGGCACTTCCTGACGCAACGAACCAGTGTTAGATTAGGAAATTACGAAAACATTAATGATAAATTCAACAAGACATACTGGAATTTTATCATACAAAACACCCACACCATTCGATTACGTATTCTACAAACGGAGATCTTCCAACAATCTGTATTATACCTAATCAATAATCTTACCCAGAATCCCCAATGTTCCTTTGAAGAGCAGTCTGAAAAACATTCTTCATTATTTCTATAATCAACAAGATCAACTTTTTTTTGATATACGATGGAATTAGCTACATTTCCGCTAGTATCCGCATACTTCTCTCTAAGATTGTACAAAAGACACGCAAATAGCACCTTTTAATACAAATTTAGAGTTAGATGCTGTAGAGCCAAACAATGCTATATACTGTTTCATACAGCTTGTGTCATATTTCTAAGACTCGTCAGTGATAACACATCAAACAGCTGTTTTGTCCTTCCAAGACTCGTCAGTGATGCCACATCATACTGCTGTGTCATCCGTATAAGACTCGTCAGTGATACCACATCATACAGCTGTTTCGTCCTTCTAAGTTTAGTCAGTGATGTTACATCATACAGCTGCGTCGTCCTACTAGGACTCGTTAGTAATGTTACATCATACAGCTGCGTCGTCTTTCTAGGACTCATCTGTGATGCTACCACATACAGCTGTTTCGTCGTTTAGGGCTCGTCAGTGATACTACATCATCCAGCTGTTTCGTCCTCCTAGGACTCGTTAGTGATGTTACATCATTCAGCTGTTTTGTCCTCCTAGGACTCGTTAGTGATGTTACATCATACAGCTGCGTCGTCTTTCTAGGACTCATCTGTGATGCTACCACATACAGCTGTTTCGATGCTACCACATCCAGCTGTTTCGTCCTCCTAGGACTCGTTAGTGATGTTACATCATACAGCTGCGTCGTCTTTCTAGGACTCATCTGTGATGCTACCACATACAGCTGTTTCGTCCTCCTAGGACTCGTTAGTGATGCTAAATGCCTAGTACATTCTGAAGACTACGAGGCGGCCGTAGAAATGATATTGAATTTATTCTTTAGAATATTTCTTCATATAGCAGGGAAACAGGAGAGATTTTATAATATATAACATGACTAATCCTTATACCATCTATACGCAAACTTTTGAGTTTTATTAAGACTGTATGATAAAGTATATTTCGTTAATAAACAAATTTATCTATAAACAGTAATTTGCTGACTGTTACACTACATTCAATAATTGATATGCAACATATGTTTTACAACAACTTTACATCCATCAAACATCGAAATTACAGTTATCTGTGTATAGACCTCACAAACCAGAAAAACGCACAGCAGTGATTTGGGATTTGTAATACATACGATTATGTATGATTGTATAAGAACGAACAAGGATCTCTTTTTACAATATACATCAAATAATCAATGACAACTTATATTTTTAAAATGTGTACAACGAGAAGTCCTCAGTTTAAGGACGAAAACTAGGAATTTTGTATTCAATATTATTTCATGACTATCGACGACAGATTCTAGCTGTATGTAATGATATGTACACAACACCTGCTGACAGAAGTACATTATAACAATACTACATTTCAATTGGGATTATCACGATAGAAAGTCCATCCGATACTATCTTTTGTTTATGTAAAATTGTGATAAGATAATGGTATATCAAATGTACATATATCTGTAGTAGTAAAGCACGTGGTGTCTGTGATGTTTCATTCGTTATGTACACATAGTGACACATGTGACAATACTTGTGAATACTGTATAAAACCTTTCTTTCTCTTTGTAAGTGGAAACCCGGTCACCTGGGTGAATGTCGAGCGTGTTACCTAACACAGCCCGACCACATGATTACTGAGTATAAACGTAACACATTTGATGTTTATGGAATGCAATCAGTCGAAATGTTATGTGCTTGGCTCTACTGGAACGATAAATGTTACTTCTTTAACGTCTCGGTTTTGTCGGGATATGGTCAAATATTTCATTTTCTACTCCTGCTTGACTCAGTTAAACTACCAAATATAGCCTGTTGTTCAGTTGTCCGTGAACTGGACCAAATGTAGGAATACATCATTTACATATTACGGTAGGGGGAGAACACCAACACAAGTCTGAAACTATATTTTAATTAAAGTTATCAAATTTGCTCTAAATTTGCAGAATCAGACTCGATAAATGTTGATATTTAGAGTCATTATTGAATTAATCAAGATATGGTAGTTTTTATCAGATCTATCTACGGCTTGCAAATGTTATCGCATGTTTTAATCTTTTTAACCTTCCCCTGTCTGAAAATGAATGAGACCAAAAAATCGATCACAGACAAATCGGATAGCAGGCCTAAATATGTATTCCAGGGTGTACCGTGAAAGTCAAAACCTAAACGTCTACTGATGTCCAGAATTAATTTGATAATTAAATAAAATAATAAACATAATTGCAAAATGATCTATAGCTGAATCAGATTAAAATTACTAATGTTTTCTCCTTTTTTCGTGGAATTTCCACACCTATTTTGACTTTGTAAGGAGAGTTTGTAACATAGAAAGTAGTCTGTCAATGAATATTTTTATCATTTGTTGAAATTATGTTAAATCTGTATTAGATTTGATGTCTTTTTGTTGATCTTAGCAAAGTGATTCTGTTACATAGTTATTAGTATTATCGATATCCGAAAACAATCACAAACCAGAAATCTTCCAAGATACAAATATTCAAAGTGAAGTGTCTCGTTAGGTTTGTCATTGGCCGCCATAATGGAACGAAAAAGCGGTTCGAGAATGTCTTTTTATGCGGAACGAAACGTGCCACCTAGGTAACGTTACGACCGGATAGACGAAAGCGGTACTGGTTACTGCCTGAACAAGTAAGCTTGTTGATTACACAAACTCCCATTTCAAGTCATATGGAAGGTTTTCTGACAATCTGAATAACAGATGGAATCGTGGTTTTGGTGGTGTCCTGTTACAGAGTTTGCGTGATCATGTCGATAATATCGTTACGTTGTCTATTCAGGCTGGTGTGTGAAGATATGTACACAACACCTGATGACAGCAGTACATCACAACAGGAGTACATTTACCTGTAAGTCAGTACCCTAATCATTGATCTTGATCAGTGATAATTGTATTATATGTATAAATATACTTGTTGACATGTTGTGTCAAGAGCAAGTCTTTGTCACTTTACAAAAAGTTTTAGTTTTGACAAATAGTTTAAAAAACGGAAAGTTAAAACAGCTTCTTTATGTAAAGCAATAACATAGCATTAAGTCACTAATATAACAAGAATATTTCAAAGGCAACTGCTTTACACAATGCGAGTGTAAGGACAGACATCTAATCTGTCTGGAATATTATCAGTTAATGGTTGACATGTTGTATGTTTGGTTCTGTTGGAACAATAGATACAAATTATTTCACATTTTGTTTTGTCCGAATATTTCATGAACAGCTAATGTATCTATCAAAATTGAATTAAAATTGATAGAAACAAAGTATTTTTCGATATACCAATGTCGATCTACGTGTAACAAATTAAACAGTATAGTGATGTAAATCAACATACCGAATATTGCCATGGAAACGTTCTGTCATCTGACCTTTATAAACATTCGTTAATATTCATCAGATTTTCATAATTTGCCTAATCAAAAACTTAACTTAATCAAAATTTGTAATTCCAGGATATTTTAGAAAAATTTTTTTTATAAATAAAAGGTTTTATTTCAAACACAAAATCGTGCAGGCTCATATGTTAAATACGAACCCAGTGATATGTGTCAGTTCTGTCGAGATATTCTATTACATTCTGAAATGTCGAAATAAATTTGACATAATTTACATCGATCACAAATCAATGTAAATCTTCAAGAGATAACGTTATTGTTCAACGTAACCTTAACCACAAATGATTATACATGTGTCTTCAATCGGTCAATTGAAACAAACAAAGGAGCAAAAACAAGCAAACAGAGATAAAACCGAAATGATCAGATAGAAGGCCTGGTATCTTTTCATGCCCGATCGAGGAATTGAACCCTGACCGTCTCAGTAGAAGCTGAGTATTCCACATAGCCACGAGGCTAACCAGTAGGGTTCAACATAAGAAGACACATTCCAATACGCCTCGAGGCTAACCAGTATGGTTTCAACATAAGAAGATATATTCCACTAAGCCACGAGGCTAACCTGTACGGTTTCAACATAAGAAGATATAAGCCACGAGGCTAACCTGTACGGTTTCAACATAAGAAGACACATTCCACTAAGCCACAACGCTAACCAATACGGTTTCAACATAAGAAGACGCATTCCACTAAGCCACAAAGCTAACCAATAGGGTTTCAACAAAAGAAGACACATTCCACTAAGCCACAACGCTAACCAATACGGTTTCAACATAAGAAGACGCATTCCACTAAGCCACAACGCTAACCAATACGGTTTCAACATAAGAAGACGCATTCCACTAAGCCACAACGCTAACCAATACGGTTTCAACATAAGAAGACGCATTCCACTAAGCCCACTACGCTAACCAATACGGTTTCAACATAAGAAGACGCATTCCACTAAGCCCACTACGCTAACCAATACGGTTTCAACATAAGAAGACGCATTCCACTAAGCCCACTACGCTAACCAATACGGTTTCAACATAAGAAGAAGCCCACTACGCTAACCAATACGGTTTCAACATAAGAAGACGCATTCCACTAAGCCACTACGCTAACCAATACGGTTTCAACATAAGAAGATGCATTTGATATTTTTTCTTCATGTTTGAGGAAGAATGGTATCATTATCATTCATTTTAAAAGGAAATCTGACCATGGTAACCATCGACAGTAGAGAATTCACAAGTCGGAATTCTGATGTTGCCGACGACAGTAGAGAATTCACAACTATGAATTCTGATGGTTACCGTTGACAGTAGAGAATTCACAAGTCGGACTTCTGATGTTGCCGTTGACAGTAGAGAATTCACAAATCTGACTTCTGATGGTTACCGTCGACAGTAGAGAATTCATAAGTCTGCCTACTGATGCTTATCGCCGACAGCCTGACAGGCAGAGACTTCTGGTGGGTGCATAAATTATAAAAGATAATATAATAGTAAGAACGATTACCTCCTTACCTGATCAGCTATAGAATAAGATCCACATCTGAAACATCTAGGTGAACGATAAGGTGTTAACGTCTCCAGTATGTGTAGTGCAATTGACGAAATAGTACAAAGAGCGGACTAGTCAACTACACGCTTCACACACACCACAGCATATTTGTATGGTATTTTAAAAATGGAGTTGTTTGGGTGTCAATATGTAGACCGGATCTTTCCTTTATACACAGCTTGATCTCTCTGTATGTGGAATTATTTTAAGGACTTAGTTCCAGGTCTATTTTATTCCGAGTTTCAATATGGTACTCAACGTTATGTTAACAGCATTCGTGTCATATTAATTATCCTCATAGAGTGTGTTAGAACGCGACAACTCGGCCATAATTACGTACTGTCTACCATAACGAAACTTAATAACACGGTGTGCGTTTAATACAATATGCTTAATCGCTTACAAGTGTAAACAAACATAGCTACATGCATCCGGGTCATATTAGTTTCGGACTCCTTTAGAACCATTTTTATGTCAACGAACTGCCGCCATGTACATACATAAATTAATACATATATCTTTATATAAGAAGATTTATTTTTTAAAAGTGATATGTGAAACATCAGTATTTTTCTTTAAAAAAATGTCCACAGATCCGACCTCAAATTCGCTCTCCTGAAATGATCATTATGTGTATGCGACATGTGACTGCACTTCCGTTTCTTATGTCATCACTAAATCTCAGAGACGCTTGATTTAGCTTACAGTGACCCAGAGGTACACATGTATTACATAAAATCGTCAATCTAACGGAAATGATATTCTGAAAAAAAAACAAAATATAGTAATGTTGCGAAAATGGTATATATCTGTGTTAATGTGTGCACCATTTCTGAAGGTTTAAATTCAACTTCTTATTTATTTATTTTAATCAAATGAACCATATTTCTTGGCAAACTGCTTTTTATAACAAAACCTATTAAAATAAAGTTAATTTTCATCGGTCGGTCTCAAATTCGCTAGTTAATTAAAATTAGAAATGAATCATCAAAAGTGATAATTGAAAAAGAAAAAACACTTTTCCAACGTAAGACGTGAATGTTTGGACTATGGTAAAAATTGCAGGAAGGCGTGGCTTATTGTTCGCGGTCGAGTTTTATTCCTTCGCCAGACGGCAACATAATACTGGCATCCGAGAATAAATTGATTGGTTATGTCATCATTTCTGGGAGTATGATTGACACGTGAAAATGTGTATAAAGAAAAATACACAAATTTGCCAATAAGATAATAACACAGAATATTTTATGGTGAATGGTTTAAATCAATATTTTTTTTATTCTTTCTGGAGGCGTGACATGTTACAGCAACCAAAATTACCCTTGTGGTAGGTCACGTAGATCAAAGGGCATGTGATACGCCTCGACAAAATGGCCGTTCCGAAATACATTACGGTCTGGAACCGATATCCAGACGATATAATAACCATATATTTCATTGACAAAAATAAAAATGTTGACAAATATTTTTTTCTTTTTCTAAATTGATGAGTTCTACTTCTGTAGAAATCTGACATCTTTCTTTGTTTATCCGTTTCCTTTGTAAAGACCTGCAGTAAAGGATTTCACGGAAACAACGATATGTATCTTAACAAAACCCGGTTACTTAGAATTTACCAAGGGTTATCGAAAAATGTTAGTTGTCCACAAACGAATAATCAAGGATTCTCAAAGACAAATTGACACTAAAAATAGCAATCTGACCTATTTCAACAAATCTACTGCTGTGAAATGTTCAGTTCATTTTTTTTCCCTTTTTGTTATCACTGGCTATTGCTCTTATCAGGCTTTAAGTAAAATGAGGTCAGATGATTTCGGGGTTGTAACATAACTCTTTCGTCTATCACCTCGACGTTCAGGGTTCGCTTCCGTGTTCTGAAGTGAACAATGTATATGATCACATGCCCACTATTACGGAAGTTTTCTCGGAACAATCTAGCTTTACAGCTATATAAAAACATGCACGCTTAAACACGTGCCAACATCAAAAGTGAACAATTGTCGATAATCTCTGTGCAGTGCCGACGTAAAATTCATTTAAATGTTACCTTTTTGAAGCAAAATAACACGATTTGTCTCAGTGATCACAGCAGACTATCGCAGTAAATTAATATGATTTACACTATATATGGTAGACATATGACCATTTGGTCAGTTTTATAACTCTCTACATCAATATTTAAAATACCAAATCAATTTTCGTCAATATATGTTATTTTGGAATTCTCGGATTGTTGTGGTAATATTGTAAAGTGTTGATTTCGCCAAAACTTAGGTTAATTACTCACCTACCTGTCAGAAAAAATGCCTGGTAGTTCCTGTGATATACGCTTAATAGGTTAAGTTGTAAACATAACTTACCTTTCGATGATAGTGGAATGAAAATCTGCCTAGGTGTCGTTATGTCGTTGTGTAGGTCGATATGAAGACCGGGTCAATATGCAGACTGCCGGATGGTCACTAGATAACATATACACAGATATACAATACACCTGTATGTCTAAAAATAACTTGGAAAGAAGGGAATGATAATAATGATATATATATAGCCTACTTATTTCCAAATCGTGTGAATTTATCATATATCAAACTATACGCTTTATTTTAAGTTACAAATGATTAAGCAGAAAACCTACCGACCCTTAGGATACACACCATGACTTGATTAAGAAATTATCATTAATTTAGATCATGTTTTTGTCTATATTTATGTCTGTTTACTTATATAACAACATTCCGTATCTCAATGTATATTAGAAAAACACAGTGATACAAAGTACATTTTACATAAAGATATGGAAATATTGATCATACAGGGAAACAATATTGTTCACCAAGAAAGTCGTTTTTTAAACGGGTCAGAATTAGGCTACATGTATATACTAAAATTCTTTTCAGAATAGTTATTTATCGGTTGGTTTACTTTTTGAGAACTGTTATAATGCTATGGGTTCGTCCACAAGCCCTGATATACTGTCCGAAAACACATAAAAATAGAATTTGGTGCTCCCTGCAGTGATTGGGGTTTACAAGTACTGATCAATTGTCCATATATTGTGGGAAGTCAGCCGACGCTGCGTCAAAGGTGTGATATTTCAGTGAGATGACACTACAAAAGCATTCGTAAGTGGTCCAATCATTCTTGGGCACCTACTTAATAACAGTGGGACTTTTGTGAGCATGTAAAACTTCAAACAAACGGTTAATTTGAATTACTGTGCAAGTTTGAAAACGTTTTTCTCTAAGGCTCCTTTAAAACTGGACTTGTTTAATTCGTTTCATTTATTTACAATAATTGCGAAAAATACGTTATTTAATCCAACTTACGTCAACATATTCTGTTGACCTGGATGAATGCGCAAGGGATTTAGCGTGGGAGGAAACCCAACACGGTTAATTAAGAAGGCGACTAAAAAGATTCTTTCATATCTGTTTGGGAAATCATTACGTCACATTACCACCCATTGTCCCTTGAATCTTAAGGTGACATAAGATATAAATATTGCGGTTTTCTAGCTCCATAAAACCGGATTTTGTGTGTGAATGCTAAGAAATTCTGTTTGATATTTTTCAACTGGAGGTAAACAACCTATCCTATTTAATCAACCGGATTCGCGTGACTTAGAGATTTAAGTTCTGAATTTAGGTTTCAACCACTGCTGGAGGAGGGAGGGCGTGGGTGAGGGGTACAGATATAAAGAGACTACCGAATCATATATGTATGTACATATATAGAAAGCGAAATATTACCATTCTATTTTGCACAAGAACAAGAAAATTACAGAAGAATCAATGCATGTAATCAGATTTTACACTGGAAGTAGGAAGGCGTGGGCGTGGGCGTGGGCGTGGGCGTGGGCGTTTAAATAAGATTTTACACGAATGTTAGCCTATTCCATAATTCTGCATGTCAACTTTTATGGAATACGCGACCACATCCTGTGCATTTTTAACTGAAATGGTCTTTTGAACTATTTCTATTCAAATAAATATATATTATCTTATTTCAAAAGAAAACAAATCAAATCAGTATCCATATGACACCGACTATCAAAATCAATAAAACATATTGTCTGAATTAATGTTGGAACAAATGGTTGTTATGGTCTTGAATTTGACGTGACCTTTGTAAGCTGAAATGACGTCATTTCCACCATATTCGTTTTGACGTATGCGTCCTTGTCAACTTGGCTATAGCAACGTTTCGCTCCCAAAGAACGCAGAAGTTTAAGTCAATGCTCAGAAGAGATGTTATTACAACCATATAGAAAAAGAGCACAAAGAACAAAATCACAGAATTAATATTGAAATGAAATTCAACAAAAAAAGCATAATGTAATAGATATAAACTTAACATAAAAATGATCACATTGAGTTTGTTGTACATCGCACAACTAAAATATACTAGCTACTAATTCATTTAGAAATTGAGTTTTCGTTTTGTGTGAGAAAAATGAAAAAAGAACTAGTATTAAAACGAATAAAGCACGACAGGTAAAAACAAAGCGTTGTGAATTTGGAGTCCAGGACTCATGATTTTCCAATGGGGTTCGCCCATTTTGAGAAATCACAACATTGTGAAAATAGGATATTTTGAGAAAGATGTTGTTCATTTGTATGAAAACAGTCTTATATCTAAAATAATCATGGTTGGTTGTTCATACAACCATTAATTTAGCACAATATTTTGATATAAATATACTTTTAATTTTTAGAAACATTTACCTACGTATAGTATGAGCATAGCCAATAATATATACAGCATTTTCACTATGATTCACACATACAGATACACTCCCTCACACACACATACAAACATACACACACATATGCACATCGACATCGACATCCTTAAGATTAAACCATTTTAATTTTGTTTACACTCAAACTACCCATGCAGACACATTTGCATGAAGAAAAGTTGAAGTAAAGGAAGAAAGTGACTGAAAAAGGCATGAAGTTGATACCATTCTATGTTTGCAAGTTTCCCAACAAAGATTAATATTATAAAGTTCTTATATATAGAGAGGTAAGAGGTAGGAAAAGGCTTGAGATGTGGTTAATATCTTCAAAGAGAGATGTGGAAAGTAACCTAAAAAGTTGTTATTAGGCACAAATTTAGCAAACTGTCAGGCTTAATCTTTACTATTAAATATCAAGTTGAGCGACATTTCTCCACTTACTCCAGGTATTTGTGAATTTTGTTTTTAGCAAGATTATTTTAAGCATTTGATAGATACTTCTGTATGTTGCAATAATCGTTCATGCTACTGGCCAGTGTACTTATATTTATAGATTTGTTAGACATCTGGTTCTATAAATGCACTGTTCAATGAGAAGAATTACTTTATTGTCCAACTTAGCATTAATACTATTTTTGTGAACCGAAAAAGGAAGGCGAGCTTCTTTATTGAAAAAGAAATATAAAGTACATCTATAAGATTTTCAAACCTTTGTAATAAATTTTGCACTCACTGGCATTACCACATCAAATGAATTATCGTTTCACTTTCGGAGTTACAGAAAGTGCACATAGGATTAACTACTATACCAAATTTGAATAACTGGGAGTTTGTGGTAAGGATATGATGAGATATGCGATATTGAAATTATTGAAGTTTAGTATTTTCGTTTGCTATATGTGGAGTTTTGAGTACTATATATCATTCCCCTTCAGCGAATAAAATATGTCCTTGCCATTTTAATTGACCAGTATTTGTTTTATTTCAAATGTTGTGAAAGAATTTGGGACTATTGATACTGTGGAGGAAAGTCTGTATATTCTGAGGTAGGAACGGGTGAATAACTGGAAGGATATTTTGAAGTAAAGGGTAAGGCAGACATTTGCGGACTGCAGATATTAGCCCATGGACCTGAAGAAAATTTGTACGCAAGAGATAGTTCTGTGAAAGTTCTTCAAAAGTGAAGAAAGAAATATTGTCCGCACCCTCTAGGAGATCAGCAATCGTATGTATTACCGATATATACCATGATTTGTAGAAAATAGGTTTATTGTGCCAAATGCACTTCGTCAAGAATTATTTCTTTCGTTATTCTTTGATTTCTCTAAAATTATTTAATTTGTACCACGTAATAAAAACATCCTTCAAAAAATTATTTGTACATAAGCTACCACATTTTAATGTATATTCCAATGTTTTAACAAAAGATCCATATTCTCCTTTAAAATATATTTTCATTTACTTTCAGTGCAGTACAATATTTTTATCCATCCTGATTTAAGAGAATTGATGAAACCATTTAAATATAACTTTTACAAGCCACCCTTACAATAATCCTGAACAACAATGTTTCTTTTCACTTCGTCAGTGTAGCTAAACCATAAAAATTCCAATAATAACATGTTACTTGCCTTTATAAACTTTTCACATGGATTTAGAAAAGATCTAAATGAGTGTTTGCATTGGGATATCATCAATGACTTAATGATAGAATCTCGTGTGATATCTGAATTAATCTTTGTTTTTCTTCGCCTGATGTTGGTTTCTAGAGGTATACTGTCGGATACGTCCCCTAGACAATCCTGATGATCCTACTTGTATCAAAGCTCTCGACAATGCAGTTGTCCAACTTCTACCGCCACATGTTCGTAGTTATACGTTACATTTGTTCAAACCATTCAAAAAGATATTAAAAATTTAACAAACAAATAACAGTTTTGATACTGACTAGTTTGCACAGCATGTAAATATAAGTAAGAAAAAAAATGTATTAATTAAAGGATATAATTGAAAGACTTTTATTTGTTCAAAGAGAATATTTAAGCTGAAGTGTGTTCATCATTTTCTTTTTATCAGATACCAGATTTCCTGGCAAATCTTTCAGCTTTGATCTGACAATTTAATAATTTGTTTTTGTTACAGTTTTAGATATTAACATTCAATCTGTTCAAAACCAATATGATATTTGAAATAATGATAAGAACGTTTGGTATATTTTAATGTTTTTCCTCCTCAGAACACAGAAATGAGCACGTGAAGGAAGTAAGATATATAAACATTTTTCCCAAAAATTTCTATGTTAGTTCTAAAACATTGAACACACAGTCAGTAGGAGTAATCTGGCTTTAACAACCACATTAGGACATGCACGATTAAACACGTGCCAACACCAAGTGATCTTAACTATATATGGTAGACATATGACCATTTGGTCAACAAAAATTAGCATGCTTCTCTTATTGATAGATATAATCGTTTCTACTTAAGGATGTATCATGACTAGAAATTGTTTTTTTTTTTTTTTTTTGTGTTTCTATTTTATCACTTTCTATGTCAATATCTAAAATATATCAGTTATTTTGAAATTTACGGATTATTATGGTAATATTGTAAAGTGCTGATTATGAGATATAGCCAAAACTAAGGTTATTTCATCACCTACCTTTCTTCCTGTAATATATACCTAACAGGTTATGGTGTGAAACAAA